CCCCAAAACCCCAAAACCCCATATATTTCAATCTATGCTATCATGTGGAATAGTAATTATTAAATTTTCCTAATAATATTTTAATTATCAATCAAATGAGATCATAATTGGCAAAATTGCATATTATTTTGCTTTTCTCAATATATATAGTCTCAATTGCAGCTGAGAAAGTTGGTACTTATAAGAATATAGAGATTATCGGAATTAAGGAATTCTCTAAGATAATAGAGAACAATCCTCTCACATTTGCTCTATTCTCCTTTGACTCTGAATGGTAATTTCCATAGCTTTGCATAATCTTATAGCATATAAAACCCATGTAGTACATACCTAATGCATCTCTCATTGATGCATGCATCTCTTAGTGGTTAATTTAGCTAGTAATCTAAAGCTAAATAGTAGCAACATAACCTTGCTGTTGATGTGTATTTTGTCATTATGAATGTAGAAAAATATGAGGATACAAACTTATTAGAACACTTAATTAGTGATGACAGCGAAATTTATTATCTTCAGCTTCATCATTCAACCAGCTTTTTTGCACTTTTTAGGAATGGAGTGTATTTTAGCATATAAAGATTGTTTGAAGATAGTTATTTAAGATAGGTAGGAACTATTAACAATGTACTAGTAAGCTATCTTAATATGCCTAAACCAATTTTTCCTCATAATCTTGATCCTATTAAAACGTTTGCTGAAATGAAAGTTGCCACTCGTCCTATGACTTAAAAGGACATTAAGTAATCTGGAAGAGAGAAATTCGTTGAATTCTGTATTTTGAGTTCAGCTAAAAAGAACTCAGTCTTTTTCAAGAAGGTTTATTAGTTAGTGGCGCAAGATCTTCCAAATGTTCAGTTTTACTATAAAACAGACAACTTAATTGACTATGATAAAGAAGAAAAAAGGCCAATTTAGGTAGAGTGTATTGATAAACACTACCAAGAAAAAAAATATGTAATTATTGACTCTCCAGAGAATGAACTTACCTACAGCAAGTTAATGAAGTTTGTTCAAATAAAATTTCTATATAGAAATCTTTAACACTTCAACAGAGAGTTACTAAAGTTTGCATTTCAATTCAAGGTGCCGATGTTGATTTATTTAAGAGATAAACATGAAGATGAATCTAGTACAGCAATAGATTTCTCTACATACTAAGCGATGTTAAAGTTTAGAGAAGTATAAATCTCTAACAACTATACTGACTTGATATTCTGTGTAAGTGATATTAAAGAAGGGTTTCATAAAGATTTTTTTGACAATTTAAAGATATACGATACTGACATCCCCCTTGTAAGTTACTTAATATATTTTTCTTAATATTCAATAGCTTTAAATAATTGATTTAAGAGTACTTGATGAAGTTGGCACAATAAATTATTTCTATCCTTCAGAAAATCATTTTTAGTTTATTAAAGGAGCAGTCCTTGACACTGAGGATATCTTTCAATATGCTTCAAGATGGAGCAAAGATGATTTAAAGCAATATTATCATAGTGAAGATCTTAAGAATGCTATTGGAATGCAAGAATTTGAGGATACCGGAATTATGAGAATTAACGCTTAGAAGCAAATGAGCATTCTCAATAACAAGACTTATGAGATGATCCATCTTGGAAGACATTCAATTAAGGTAATTATGTTCTGCTCTCTCTTCCATCACTACTGCATTGATGATCTAGCTACTTACAAGCTCTCAGTAAAGCATTTCTTGAATTCTCAATTGAGTTAAAATGCTCTAATGTAATTCTACTATATGGACTCTAGGGCTAATGACAATGCAGATCAGATGGCAATGATTTCTGACATCCCCTACATTAGAATATATTTACCAGATAGTTAGACCTATTTTGACATGAAGCTTAGTGAGAAGAAGAGGTTAGACTAAACTGAATTCATAGATCTTCTTGAAGAGTCTATCGGGTATCTCTATGATGATAATAATACAGATGAATTGTGATTAAATAACAATAGATTATTGGGTAAAATTAAAATTATTGCATTCATTTCAAAATTTGAATAAAATTCCAACTTTGATCTTTTCATTAACATGTATCTTGGGGTTTTGGGGTTTTGGGGTTTGGGG